ATCACTGACAGGTCCTCATTATGGCCAACTAGTCCCATCACTGACAGGTCCTCATTATGGCCAACTAGTCCCATCACTGACAGGTCCTCATTATGGCCAACTAGTCCCATCACTGATAGGTCCTCATTATGACCAACTAGTCCCATCACTGATAGGTCCTCATTATGACCAACTAGTCCTATCAGTGATGGGACTAGTTGGCCATAATCAGGACCTGTCAGTGATGGGATTAATTGGTCATAATGAGGACCTATCACTGATAGGTCCTCATTATGACCAACATGTCCCATCACTGACAGGTCCTGATTATGACCAACTAGTCCCATCACTGACAGATCCTCATTATATCCAGCTTGTCTTACCTCTAACCAGTCCTCATAACAAATGAGACCTTTTGCTGAGCATTCCTTTTCATTACATGCTGCTCCTGTCAGTGGTTGGTCCTGATTACTGAACCGTTCCTGGCTGACCAGTGAGGACCTGGGGATTGGTCTCAGTGTAGGTGAACGCTGGCAGAGTGCAGAGTGCTGAATTCATGGAGGTTGAGCTTGTTATCTGGTTGACATAAAGCCGGAGGTGTTTGTTGGTCTCCGGAGGTCTGATGGTGAGGACTCTCAGACTGTTGGTCACATGTTAGGTCTCCGGCTCGAGGGGTGCGGTGGTACGTTTTCAGGGATCCAGAGGTAGCAGTGAAGGAATTGTGAGGCCGTACCTCCAGAATCTTGTGGTAGAAGTCATTGTGTGCTGTCACATCCATCACTCCTTACGTGGTCTCATCCCAACTCATGCATCTGTTTGATATGCCAACTCTATCATGAAAGGGTTCTATGCGGTTGCTGGTGAGTTGCTCTCCTTGTTGGCATCTCATATGTTTTGGAGATCACAATGGTGAAATATCCTCCACCAGAATTATGAGTTCTACCCAAAAGCTGTGGTCCTTACATCAAGCTGTGATGTTGTCACCCTCCCCCAATGGGTTGTAGACTCAGTACATGGTTATAGTTTATGTTTTGGAGACCCCAATGGTGACATATCTCCACCAGAATTCCAAGTTCTACTCAACTCCTGTGGCCATTACATCGTCCATGGATGGTGTCACCCTCCCCCCAACGGGTTGTAGACTCAGGGCACGGCTATTTTATATGTTTTGAGGAC